AAACACCCCATCGTTCTATATGCTGCTGTCATGGCAACACCGGGGACAAAGTGGCACCGACCTTGCCTTCTACATGATCAGCACCGGGCTGGAGAAGCTCCAGGGGGAAATACAGGACTCGCATTGCACGGAAGAAAGAGCAGGTGTGTCTGCTGCCCTGCCCCTCTGAGCTCTGTGTCAGCATGGGAGTGCATTCTGGAGCCAGGCTCCCCCTGCACAGACCCGGCACCACAGCTGTGCTCAGTGCTGAACACACAGGCTGCGTCGTCAAAGAAATCAATACTCATCCGAAGTGAAAACGCAAAACAATGTGCATCGATTTCTAGGCAGCTGCAACCTCCGGCACAGCTCTGAGGGCTGTGTCCTCTTGTCTGATCGTCGTGCAAGGGGGTGATTTCAGGACTCTGATAACAACCCAGGGCTCTGTGCCCCTACAGGGAAGGTTCGTGACGCGCTGTGCCCCTCCAGAACTGCCTCTGTGAAAGTCCCCTGGGCTGGGCTTGTGTCACCAAGTGGCAAGAGTGGCTGTGGGGCAGCAGGAGTTGGGGGCTGTATTGAATTGTAAGCTTGCATTTAGCGGTCAGTGTTCTTAGTCCCTGTTTCCTCTCTCTGATCAGAGTCTTCAAGCACAGTCGGTGGACTGCAGGACACAGTGTTTGCCCAGATGCTCGTCAATTACCACAGTTAGGGATGGCACAGTGAGGTGTGTGGTGGAGCTGAGCCAGAACAGAGGAGGGCAGCCTCAGGGAGAAAAGACTGACATTGAATAATCCAGGGGTGTCTCCTGGACACAGGAGAGGACTCGAATAGCAGAGGGAGACTCTACACAGGGTAGCAAAGGACAGCTCCAGGCTGCTAGTATGTGTTTCGTCTTCTGGCTCATTATCAAGGAATGCTAGGCTCTGAGGTTCAACAGACTTGCTGAGTTGTTTTCTTCAGACTCTCATAGCCCACTTGAGTAAAGAAGTGCCTCCTGTTCTCAGTCTTATATACTCTCCTCCTGAGTGGTAAACTGCGTGTTATCACTGAGAAAGACATTCCAGATATTCATGCCTCGTGAGAAGTTACATTATTGCAGTTTTGCTGTTCTGATTGCCCAAAAGAAAGGGTTTCACAACAATAATGCAATCTACATGCAAAAATGTGAATTGTAACCATTGTTTGCAAGACTCCTACAATGTTTTGTTGGAAGGACTGAAGGATGGCATGTTTGTGATGTCAGAGGGAGAAACGTTTAGGTATCTGTGAT